AGCCCTGGGTTTTGACCACAAACAAGGTCAACAGAATAAGAAGCAAAAGGTGGGCGTGGCTGGATTACCACACTTCTGGTAACTTGGGTGTGTGGCCTAATATGCTAATGAGCTGTGCTGTCAGGGCTGTGGCCTAATATGCTAATGAGTTTCTGCTGTTGGGTGTGTCCTATTATGCTAATGAGTTCCTGCTGGGCTTTTTCTACAAAAAAAGCCCTTAGTGTAGGCACACACAAAAGCTTATACCCTGAATTAAACTTCGTTGGTCTTAAAAGTGTCACTAGACTCAAACTTTGTTCCCTTGTTATTTATTAAGATATCCATATCTTTCTCTTATGATTCAAGGCATCTTACAATGCCAAACATCAAAAACATGCTGTAATCCTCCACAAGGAAATGCCTGCATCTTAAACCCCGTTAAAAGCCCACTCAAATAAAATGCCCCCTCCCCTCTTCAGGGAGCCCATTCCACAAGGTGGGAGCCAGCAGAGGAAAGGAATGGCTTCTAGTAGGTGCCAAGTGGTCCACTTTAAATGGGTTGGAAACCAGAAGGTGGCAAACAGAGGGCCATAGTTGGCACGTGGTGAGGGATGGTCTGTTAGACCTTTTCTTTTCCCATTTCCCCCCTTCACTCTCCCTCCCCGTTGACCAGGCTACCATTATAGAATCTTAGACAGTAGGCTCTTTGGGTACAGAGACATATTATCTTTTCAGCCATTACAGTTAAATGTTGCTTGTTAGCAAACAGGATGTTACGTTACATAATGTATTCAACGGTGGGAAAGTTTGTGGGAGTTGTTTATCCTAATGAAGTGACCTGTAACCTTTGTATTGGTCAACTAACATGCAAGTATGTAACTTTTTATTTCTTTTATCCAAAGTACCATACCCATGTTTTATTTTGTTTTTATAGCAAAGATATTTTTTTCTTTTACTAAGTGTGGCTCTTGTGTTTGTAATACGGCCATCGACCCTGGATCAAAGAATCCCAACAAGTAGGCTCTTTGGGTACAGAGACATATTATCATTCCCCATCATATTATTCTGCAAAGCGCCCAGGATGCATCCTACCAGCTTTTCTGCTCAATTTTGCCCATCCTCACTGCAGCCCCATCCATGATCTTCAGCATAACTTTTTCAGTGGCCATAAGAGGGGGTGGGGTTCTTCTGCCAGAAGAAACACCGGCAGGGTCCTACCCACTGTATTTCGATGGTGCTGTATAAAACACAGTTGTATAAAACAAGGAGATTCCATCACCAACCCCATAAATTTCACTTGCTCAGTTTGGTGTAGTGGTTAAGTGTGCGGACTCTAATCTGGGAGAACCGGGCTTGATTCCCCACTCCTCCACACGCAGCTGCTGATGTGACCTTGGGTCAGTCACAAGCTCTGGCACAGCTGTCCTTGAAAAAGAG